CCAAAATTCAATTGTGTTTCGTAAGCAGCAACTTAGTCTTTTGTGCAAGTATCAATTATTACTTTGAACTCGGGCACAAGGCAGCTGTGTTTAAAGATTTTAAGGATCCTGAGAGATACCTGAGATGTCGAGAGCTATATAGGCGTAGAAACCAAGTCCGGCGATAAAGTGTTTGATTCTAAAGCTAATCGTAACTTGTACTCGTTCTTCGTTTTCAGATGTCGATAATAGCAAAGAGTCAAATTGCTCCACCATATCTCAAAACCGGCTAAACATTCACATTATTTCATAAAGATTGAGTAGAATTACTATAAATATATAAATGTATGTACTGGATGTCAAAAAAAGTATAGACACTTTTTGCTATAAATCTTTTGCTCAGCTTCGAATGTCACACATTGGAGCAGGCTTCAACTAGATCTACAGTATTGAGCAAATCACTCATTGCTCTCCACTACTCTAGGGTTATGGCAGAAACTTCGAAGAGCATAAGCCATCAACGGCCACACTTCCCCAAAAAAAAATACTCAACAAGGTGAAGTCTCTATTTTTAGGCTAAGCGGAGTAATTAACTATGATTATGAAATTCGCACCTTACCATAAGGTTCTTGCGTAAGTTATTTTGAGTACAGCGTAATAGCGTTTTTCAAAAATGTGATTGAACCATTTGGGACGCCTAGGAAGTCATAAAAGTTGTGTAACAAAATCAGCGTGAATGCTCTTACACAACTTTGCAAATATTTTCAACTTTTTCTCAAACAGCGTAACTTACATGGCGCTATATGCTGGAAATTCCTATTACGCTTTTACACAGTAAAGACATGTGGTGATCCTTTTTAACCGTAATTCTAAGTTGACCAGCTCTACAAATTTTCATCTGAAGCTAAGCAAAATTCATGGGAAGAGAAATATCAGGTTGAAAACGAAGTTTTGCAACTTTCACTACATATATAGATTATGACTAAGCTACAGAAGACAGCCGAAGATAGCACCACCTGGTATGAGAAGCATTAAGCTTAACACAATACTTGATGGAATCAGCATTTTTCCATAGAATCCGAGCATCACAAGTACTGAAATACATGACATCTGCTAAAGACAGAGCATATTACAGCTTTACCTGTCGATATAACTAACGAAACAACAATATAGGCATACTGCCAGAACAGATGCGGTAGTATTAGTAAAGAGATCTCATTTTTTGAGCCAAGATAGAGCAGCAAGGCAGTGAAAACACAAGAGGAGCACACTGAAAAAAGAGAAGTAAGAGTATGTGTTGTGTTATGGAAGGAATTTGGGTTATAGGTACTAACAGTTTTACAAGCAGTAATTTATAAATTTCCCTGTGCACATGTTGAAGCAATGCATTCGGCGCTTTTGCAAGAATAATGTCCGTTTTTTTAGGCCTACTTCCCAAACAACTTTTTTCCTTCGAGATGTTTTTTCCAACATAGATCCTGCACATTATTGGAGAGCTTTCTCCATATACTTTTCTAACATCTCGCACAGCTGCACTCGAAATCGAGATTTATTGATTTGACTCCTTATCTACAATTCAGGCGCAAACAAACGAATTTTTTTGAAAACATAGCTACTGTAGGAAGGATATTGTTTAACTATTGCATGTTTAAATGAATTTTCAAATTAAAAAATTGAAAAAAAATAAAATCAGTTTTTCTGCACAAAAAACCTAGCTATTCAGCGCATGAAGAATTTCAAATTTTCACAGTTTCGGGCCTTCCTACCACAAATAGGCTCAAAATAGTGAAGAATTTTCGGTTTTTATCTTTTCTTCTCGCAGGTCCCTTCGTTGGAGTTTTTCTATATACACGTATACTACTGGCTTGCATCTACAGACTAAGCTAATTAGCAGCCATGGGAAACAAATTTTGAAGAGAGTTGCAAGAAATACTTTCGTTTTCTTGACACATGGTTTTCTTCTTGTTTGCGATATCAGCATATGCAGATGCACTTTAAGTTATGAATGGTTGACTACTTTTGATGGTCTTGATTGCATTTAAGAATATGAATAGTGGACAAAGTTATAGCCTTTCAAAATAAAGCTTTGGAGATCAGACATTATTTTTGCAACAGCCTGATATTCATCAAACAATATCGAAACTGGAGTCGCCAAATATTTTCTTCATTGTTGCTCAAGAAGTATCATTACATGAAAGAGCTCTACACTCACTGATAACTTGCAATGCAAACAGCCAAACTCCGTCACCATCAAGCAATCCAAGGAAGTAAAAATATCTCCCATCCACGGTAAGCAGGTCTGGTGATTGCATCAAAAGGACCAAAGAGAAAAAGACCTAAATGCTTGAGTATCTTAGTGTTCAACGGATGCATTTTTGTGTATACCTCTATGCAGCAAATCAAGTGAACCGATAATGAAAGTGAGAGTAGTCCGCAAAGGCACATGTTCTGCAATAGAGAGAAGTTATAAACAAAGGGAAGGAGAATCAAAGGTGTTGAACTTTCTTTCACTTACGTGTTAAGCTGGTTTAAATATTTTGGATCATTTGTTGCTTATTTCGGATGAAATTGGGTAACCTTGTGATTTCATGCTCAGCAAGTACAGGGTGCCCCAAAAGTCATAAAGCCAGAATTCATCTAGCTAAACTTGGGCGAAGCTACGCAGACTGATGAATTTTGGTACACAGTTTATTCATACAGGTTGGAACTCATAGTTCATGTATTTGCCACTGTCCTTTACATACATGGGCCTCCTCTTGGACGATTCACCCTCCTAGGCAGACGTTTAGTTGACTCGAGCTGTCTCGCGCTTCTAAAGCACTCCATCCGTCCAACTCTGTGCGGAATAGATAGTAACGTATTCCAAAGCTTTTGTCCACAAACACAACATTGTCACAGACATTCACTTTCATATATAAGATTCTCAACTGGAAAGCTACCTAGCTTAACTCGGCCTTCTGGCAAGAGGCATATAAATATTCTGGATCATCTTCAAACGCTGATTCCAACTATGCTATTCCTAGCTGCCGCGCACCATTTCGAAGTGAGTTATGACCTTATTCCTGCGCAAAATTGGCATACTACTGAATATGGGAAGACTGCATGTAGGTAAAAATCTGCAGAAAAAATGTGCTGGCATATTAAAATAACACAAATACAGTATTCACTACAAAGAAGCTTAGCGCAAGTGTGTTCTAACTGATGATGCCGTGATGCCATTGAGTCGAAGATTATGCCATTTTTGCGTAGGAAAAAACCCATAACTCGGTTGAAAATGGTGCGGCAGCTAAAAATAGCATACTTGGAATCACGTTTAGAGCTGATCCAGAATATATACATCCCCTTGGCAAAAGGCGCTAAGTTAGGTAGCTTCCCTTGTTAGTAGACATGTTTCACTTTACTAACAAACTTCTGATATGCTAAGAAGGCGACAAAATGCCTACCAAAAGACCTCGAACATAACTATTTGTAGATATACCGCTAACAAACTCGAATCTAGGATGAGTTACAACAATTGGCTGCGCTAAGATTGTTTTCGTTAGCATGTATCTCTGTGATTCACCAATGTGTTTGCTCACAGTACGTTTGAAAAGTGCACGATTTTTCCTTTTCGAGCTCTAGAAATTTTAAGGTTGCTGAAAATGAGAAATTAATGTTTTAGAAACTTTGATGCAAATTATGGCAAGCGATAGCAGAATATTGCAGCCAAAGTACTAGATTGTTCCAGAAGTCTTGTCCGATTTTGATTGCCTCAATGTTCGTCACTTCGCGTGTAAGAGCATTGCTATGTCAAAATAAACGGTGTAGAAGGAAAGCTCGTAGAAAGTTTAAATGTTCCTTTCTTCCTCGGATACCTTTTTTATATAGTGCGGTGTTCCGGTAGCCAAAACTTGCTCAGTCTAGTGATTGTAAGATCATCCGAAAAAAATTAATCCGAAGAAAGTTATAACAAATCGAATAAAAAAACTCAAAATCGGACCAGAACTTTTCGATAAACCAATAGGAGGATAATAACAGCACACGGCGGATTTATGGGAATTTAGGTAATGCACTGACGCATTCTGATGATTTACACAATGTCTCACCTGATTTGTATTTTCCTCCACTTTTTCCAAAACGAGCTGATGGGGCAGGGCTGTTTGACCACCATACCAATAGACAAGATGCTCAACAGCATGCGAGCGTCGTTGTGCTAACTTTTTCATCATTTTTGCCTTCACTAGGTAAGTCTCATGTGTGGACATAGCAAAAACAAAATAAACGAAGAAACGCCAGTAGGTGTAGATATTCTGCGCAAACAGCTGAGGGTAGCGAAGGCGCTAAGTGAATACAAAAAGTACGAAGACGCACTTAGTGGAGAAGAAACCAAATCAGTTTACCGCGGCAAGCAAACCTTGTACCATTTGCAAATGGAATGATACTCTTTTTTTCACTAGTGGTGCCATCGAGGATTCCATGCATGCATACAGTACCTCTACAAAGCATAGAAGGTAGCGGATGCGGTGCAGGAGGAACCAAAGGTTTGCCGCCTGTGT